TCATGTTGTGCAGGATCGACTTCAAACAAAATCGACGCCGAGGACGGCTTTTCGTCAAGAAAGGGAGGATGATGAGGATATGACCTCCATACATATGAACATGCTTGGAGAACCATATGGAGACCAAGGACATCAGCGAGGGTGTCCTAAGCGAGAAGGAGGGCCGAAGCTCATCCGGTTTGAGTCACCAAGGTGGAGGCCCAAATCAAGTTCGAGTCCATTTCGGCTTCTAGGACCAGTCTGCCTTAAACTGGTCACTCAGGACGCATCCGGACTCCGTTTTCGACGATCCACATATGGATGGAAAGCTAATTTGATAAGGAAGCCAATTCAAGTGGTCTCACGTCAAAAGCTGTTTGAAATCAACGGGAATCGTCGGAACAAGTCAGCATCCATAATATGCTAGGGTGCTGCGACACCGTATTTTGGTCTGTTGGACCATGTATCGTGTTTGGGCCCATTAGGGGGCGCGTCCAGGGGGGTGACGTCCAAGACTCTATAATTAGCAGCCGTCGCTCTCCTTAGGGTTTGGGTTTTGTTTAGTTCTTGATTTCCTCGTGAAACAGATATCGTTTTGCTGCAACTGTCGCCGCCAAGGCCGCTTGCTGTGAACTAGGGCCCTAGTTCTTGATCTTGTTCGCCTGTGGCGATTAGTCATTTCGAATAAAGACTTGAACTCCTTATTGTTTTCAGAAGCCTCATATTTATTTGCAATTTCAGATTGTGTTGATCCCGTTCTTGTTTGTGTTCTCGATTCGCTTACAGGAAAGCCTTCTCGGCGAGGTCAATCACGTTCGCGTGGTTGATAACCAACGGAGCAGTGGTGTAACGGTTGCGGGGGTCTGAATCAGTCTTGGTTCGAAGCCTAGATCGTGAACGTCGAGTCTCCACCAATCGATGTTATCATACCTTTCGGAAGATCGGGCCTAGTCTACATTAAAGAAAATGGGGGGAGAGGGGCTCGGCTGCGGGAGTGGATGGGGTTTGACCCAGCCTGGACCAGCTAGCGACAAAAGATGGAGGCGAGGGTAACGTGGTCATTTCCCGTGCCAAGTTAGGGCTCTCAAGCTCAATGCCATGCTGGCGCGCCGACCTGGCATGACACATGAGCGAAAGTGGCAAAAGCGTAGAAGGTTCACTGTTTGCGATGGCAATTGTGTAGGAGCGTGCATAAAACTGGCAAACGAAGGAGTGCCATCCATAAGGATGGCAAAAGGTTAAAAATCCCCACACAACCGAGTCTCAATTGGGGTCATCTGTGATGAGGGGTAACTAAGGCCCACGGAAGCTGATATCAAAGACACATACGTTTGAGCCCCATCTCTAGTTAGTAATCAGAGACACACTGCCACCTGTGATGTTTGTGTTAATGTTGTGTTGCTTCGGTTAGAATTAACTTGTCTTGTTAAACAATTTTATTTGGATTTCACTATTGTACCCGTGTTTAGCACTTTAAAACTATATATATTGATACAAGCGTCAACTATGTTACATGAACTATAGTAGAGGTTATAGTCAGTGGCACCATAGCTCATAGGCACGGACCTATTCTTTGGATGTGAGGCGGACGAGAAAGTTTTTTTTTCCTGATCGCTGCTGCCAAAGCCACAAATAAAGAGTGAGTTCCTCAGGACTCGAAATCTAACCACCCAGAGAGAGGTACTTATCACTCGGTCAGCCAGGCCGTTCCCAATGGCTCCTAATACTTTTAAAGATTTTGCTGTTTTACCTAGTGCATAATGTCGCATGTAAAAGTCAAAATGCCAACATGGATGCACGATACGATATGACGTAAGAAGCTTATAAAAATATCTCTAAGGCATCCTTTTAATTACAGGATCCTTTTAAGAAAATGAATTTTGTCAGAATCCTCTGAAAAATCCTACGACTTTGGTCAGGACGGGGAACCGAGGCATCATCTTTACGACTGCTTCAAGAGCAAAAAAAATATCTCAAGCAACGAAGAAAAGCCTTTGATATGGACGTATAATATACCGTGTACGCATCCATAATATCATCCATGACGTCAGGAGGCAACGAGCTACTTATAAAAAGTCAAAAGGTCGTAAGCGTATGAACTTTACTTTTCACGTCTCCTTCTCACCGCACCCACACATTATATTCTTGCTAATTCACGCTGCGTCAGTAATGTTGAAGTTTCCATGTACTATTTAATTGAAAACTTCCACTTTGAATTTTTCAAAAAGGCTGCTATTTTTGTAGTCTTTCGCCCTGTTCGTTTGGGCTGGTTTGACTTATAAGCCATAGCTAAAAATACTATTGTCTAGTTTGGTATGAGAGAAAAATATTGTTCATTGTCTGATAAGTTATGGCTTATAAGCCAAATACGATCAAACGAACGTGCTATTTATTTAGAGCCCTTAAAAAAGGCGAGATTGTGGACATTGACACCGTCCCACGAGCGCATCATAGCAAATGCGACAGGACTATCTATATCATCCCCAAATGTTCAGTCCCTATGCACACAAAGTAACTAATGGTTAATGGTTTTTGGTAAATTTTCACCAGCATTTTGCATGGAACCAAAGTTAAAATTAAGCAGCAAGTGACAAATGAAATGAAATCGTCAACAACTTTGAGTCGAAGATTTGCAACAATTAGTATTTTTTATATTTTATTTCTTTGATTTGATCCCTTTTTACATGTGTTTGATTTTGATGCAACGTGTAAAAAAAATGCAACGTGTAAAAGCTGCGGCCGCCTAATATATAGTGACGGGCCCACCTAACAGTGGAATCACACTCTTTTTTTTCCCTCCCTTGCACAGCGTCGTCGTCAGGGGAGGGAAGGCGGTGGCGGCGGGGGGAATGACGTCCGAGGAGCTCCAGTCTAGGATGGGGATGAGGACGAGGGCCTTCACCTGCCGTTCGCTCGCCGCTCGAGTTTGACCTCTTCTTCTTCCTCCTCGTTTTCTTCGATATTTCCTCCCCGCGCGCGCGGATTGTCTCGGTCTATTCGATCAATTGGAGCAAAATTCGACGAGCTGATGTCAGAAAGGGGAGAGGAGACAGACGACGGGTGGATGGGTGCGGGAGGGGAGGGGAAGGCGACAGAGCAAAACAAGTCTGTTTCGGCACCAACCCCCGTCCAATCAAGGAGACTTTTCCCTGTGTGCCATTATAAAAGATCGTAATCTTTTATGTGTTTTGGAAAAATTCAGCGGTCTTCAGTGCCACTATTTCAACTTTTTCGGGTCATCCATGCCACTTTCATCGATTTAGAGGCTCTAACGCCGTCAAGCTGCAGTGTGAAAAAGAAAATGCCCTTAAGTTCAAATATGTTATTAATTTTTTGAGCATCTTAACGACTTCAATGAAAATACTCAAAACTAGAAAGTTGTAGATCTCGTCGAGATCTATAATTTTCATATAAAAATTATTTTCATTTAATTCCACAAAAAAAATATGATTTGATATAATTAATATATCTTAGAAAAATCATCATATTTTTTTTGCGGAATTAAATGAAAATAATTTTTATATGAAAATTATAGATCTCGACGAGATCTACAACTTTCTAGTTTTGAGTTTTTTCATTTGAAGTCGTTAAGATGCTAAAAAAAATTAATAACATATTTAAACTTAAGGACATTTTCGTCTTTTCACACCTGTAGTTTGACGGCGTTAGAGCCTGAATTAATGGAAGTGGCATGAAGGACCCGAAAAAATTAAAGTAGTGACGTTGAAGACCGCTGAATTTTCCAGAAGCGCAGAAAAAATTACGATTTTTTATAATGGCACGCGTGGGAAAGTCTCCCAATCCAACCGCTGATGCTGGATGATTGGGCTGTGTCTGAGGCTCAGCCTTGCGTTCATTAATTTAATGCTTCTGAGAGCGGTCAATGCGGGATGGTTGGGTGGTGGATTGGGGTTTGGAGATTCCATCTACTCCCTCCACCTTCCCGGAGAAGCAGCAGCAGGCGGCAGCAGAGGAAGGAAGGAAGGAAGGAGGAGGATGAAAGAAATGGTCGCAAAGAGGTGGAGAGGAGGAAAGGGTCAATTGCAGCTCGGTGTCCCTCAACCTTAACACGAGCGCTTCTACTTCCCTCGCTTCTTCCCAGTGTCCGGTGTCCCTTTCACTCTCAGAGGAGGAGAGGAGGGGGGATCGTCCCTTTCCATCGTGTTCACATTTCTCACACACCTTCCGTTGCCATTACAATATCTTAATCGCCAGCGTAAACTCGCCGTAGCTACCTGCTCTGCTACTCGACCCCTGGCACCGGCACCTTTCTTTATTGCTTCGTTCCCTTCATCCGGTGATTCCATTGTCAGCGTTCGATTCGGCTCAATTGTTCCCTCTGCTTGGTGCCTCTCTGCTGCTTGATTTGCTACCTGTACCTGGTGAGTTCAGCTTTCTTCTTTTTCTTCCCATAATACTACGAAGTTTCTCTTGATTACTTTGCTTAGCTGCAAAATCCAAGCTTTTTTTTTCATCTTCTGTTGAAGAAATACCATGCCATGCCATGCTTTAATCCCTCCGTGAGCTCATACTCTGCTATGGTGTCATGACTGCAATTATTGTTAGGGATGCAGCAGCAACATTTCCTTGCCTGTGAATTGGAGCATCAAAGGAATTTCTTTCTCCTTCCTGTATTGTGTTCCAAAACTTCCTCATGCCATGTTTTGGGCCCTGATCATCGTACTGCTTATTGCTTTTTTACTTTTGATTCTTGTGTGTATTGGCGTTAGCACCTACCGACTGATGCTGTTATGATACAAAATTTACTCTTTTGAGTTCCATATATGTAAGCTAACAACTACACAACTCAAAGAATTTCCAACTATCAAAGATTTTTCCTTTTGGATGAATACCTTTCTTAAATTTGCCAGCTGCTCTGAGTACTAATTTAATTTGGTGCCCTTTGTGTATCTTGGGTCTGTAGTCTGTACAACTAACATCTGCTCTGCTGCTCCCTAACAGGGAATGGATTCTGCTATCAGAGGGAGCCTACAAGAGTGAAATCTATATAGTCTGGACAAATGGGGCAAAATATGTTACGGCCTCAAGTGCTTTTCCTGTGCTCCATTATCCTCACATTATCTTTTACCCTTTTGCAACCAACGACTGCACAGGTCACTGCACCATGGGAAGGTAAAATCCTTCTTATTCACTGCACTTTGCTTGCATATCCCTTACTTGGCTTGATCTCTGCATATTTGTCATTTGTGTCCATTTCACTTTTACCTTGTAAAAATGGCCCTTACTTGAGAGGAGAGGTGTATACAAGTCAGCAATACTACTTATATTATCGCAATTATTTTTCATGTCTTCAAGTTTCATTCTTGCAACATTATTCTCAAATTGAGCGTGTCTAAACTTGTTTCATCTGCTCTGCAGTTGATGCTCTCAAGGCTATTAGGGGCAGCTTGATAGATCCACACGGAAATCTTAGCAGCTGGAACCGTGGAGATCCATGCATGGGAAATTGGTCCCATGTTATCTGTTACAATGCAACAAGCAGCGATGGATACTACCATGTACAGGAATTGTACGAACATAAGCAATCTCCTTGTCAATCAAGCGCTTGTTATACATTCCACACTACACCTTAACATTTGTTATGAGTTACTTTTGGTGATGAGTGACTAAACCTGAACTTGGTTTCATTATAATTTGTTTACTGCCTTTGCTTAGTAGGCCAAAAGTTTGCAGCTGGATCTTTTTTTCCACATTCTTTTTGTGAAGATAAATATTGATTACATATTAACTGCTGTCACACCTTCTCTCCCTCTCTCTTTTCAAAGCAGAAATATGTTGGAGCATTCATTACATTCTTCCTGTTTTGGCATTGTTGTAAAATAGACCATCTTTTGTTTGGAACATTGGAGAGTTTGATTAATAAAAGTAACCAAAAATGTGTTAAGACTATTCTGTTATTACTGGAGTTAGCTATTTTTACAATCAGATGTAACTACTGTGACACTTGTTTCACTTGACCACATCTTCCATCTGCCAGTTTTTCTCTCTCAAAAGCGTAGGAGAGCAGCATGTCATTTCAATAAAGAAGAGAATAATTTACAATCGCAAAACTAGCTCACCCCCACCCCACCCCACCAGTTTATTCCATGGATATTAAAGCATTTACATGTATAACATAAATTTGATTGCAGACAGCTCCTACGTTTGAATTTATCTGGAACTTTGGCTCCTGAGCTTGGTCAGCTTTCTCAAATGAAAATTATGTAAGTGGAATTATTTCAGCTGGCAGTTGATTGATTGCAGAGCTAAGTTTAGCATGTCATTTTAACTGCCCACTTATTTAATGATACATGCACAAAGAGGCTGAGTATTTATTTCCTTTGAAGGGATTTTATGTGGAATTCGATCGGCGGGACCATACCTAAGGAGGTTGGAAACATCACTTCTCTGGAATTATTGTAAGTCAAAATCTGTAGCACTTCTTAGAAATTTGGCCAACAACATTGTCTGACTGAATCAGTTCCAAATATGTTTTGGTTGCACACGGGGCATGCCATAGCTGTAAGTTTTTTTACTTGACTACTGGGGAGAGGAGATACTTCCCATTCCATTTTTTTTAATTGAAGGTTGAGGAGTGCCAAACCCTGTCTAGCCAGGAAACGTGCTGAAACCAGTTTCTCAGGGAGGTATTGACAAATTGGTGAGCCCCGAGTTTGGCTCTGGGTGGCTATCCTATCAAATTTAGGCACTAACCAACCGACCTAGTGCTTGGTTCTTCATAGCTGTTAGTTTAACTTAGTATTCATTAGACTGAATCTAAGATTCACCCCAAAACATGGTATTTCTGTTTTCCATTTTAACTTTCCTTTCATAATAATTTAAAGGTGTTTCTCCAGGTGTTCCATTGTTGTCACATCCTGTGTCATGGGATGAGCTTTGCAATATTTCTTTCATGCAATTGTTTCTGCTCTTGTAACAAGGTGCCCATTGTGCATTTGCAGGCTCCTGAATGGAAACCAATTGAATGGCTCTTTACCAGAGGAGATTGGCTTCCTTCCTAATCTGAATCGGATTCAGATTGATCAGAACTACATATCTGGACCCATACCTAAATCATTTGCTAACCTGAATAAAACCAAGCACTTGTGAGTAGAATATGGTTTGTTTCTCTGTTATCAAGGAATAGGTATCCTAATGGATTTTCAATCTTGATCCAGCCACATGAACAACAACTCATTGAGCGGTCAAATTCCACCTGAGTTATCCAGATTACCTTCACTTGTTCACCTGTAAGTTTCTGGCATTGCATCATTAGTGGTCTTTCTTTATACTTTACTGAGAACACAATTAATTTGCAGATTGTTGGATAACAATAACTTGTCAGGCTATATTCCTCCAGAACTATCAAAGTTGCCAAAGGTGCTCATCATGTACGTAAGCTTCTATCGCGATACCTTGAGACATACTCACAGTTTTGTTAATTTGGTTGGCTTGGCTGCCTACCATTCTTTGATCAGAAATTGTATAAATTTTTGTCTGGCATGAAACGCTCATCTCCCGTGAAGTAGTTGATCTATATTTGTCATCTCATAGCTTCATTGAATTTTAACTAGAGCTGACCTACATTTTTGGGAACCACACAATATATTAACCTCTTTAGGAGTGTGGGTCTAAATTTCTTTTGTGAAATAGATGCTTACTTAACTTGTGATGATTTCTTTAATTTTCTCTATGAGTACTTCATCGAACTGTCTGTAGATCAAGTGGTAGTCTTGGTTTAAATCTGGTTTTATTCTGATCTGTAATGCACTATTTTCTCACTAACAATAAACACTATAATCATGTGATCAGTAGCTCAAGCTAACCTGCTGTTGCAATATACTTCACTCTATTTTCGGGGGCTTTACTACTATTCAAGATCAATAATGAATCAAAACTACTTAAACAAATCTCACTACTACAAAAAGACTCATCCCTGCATAAAAAATGGGAAATGACTCAGATAAGCATCATTGCTGGATCATAAGACGAGTTGGAAACAATGAGCCCCCCAAGGCCCCAAGTGTTATCAATTGGCATGGATACATTGGTGACTATCCATGCCAGTTCGTGTTACCAACTGGTGCAGATACCTTCATTACTATCCATGCCTTTTCATATTACAAATCACCATAGATACTTAGTATCCCTGTTGGTTGATATTACAAACCAGCACTGATAGTTTCCTGTTTCAGAATCTTAACTTTTTTATATGGACTCTGATGGAAACAAGTGGCCTGCTCGCTGCAGCTTTCTGCGGCTGCAGCTGTGGCTGTTTCAAGTATAGTAAATCACAACTATTTTCTGCAGCAACAGTTGCAGCTTTAGCTGCAGTAGGCCAAAGCTTAATAATATGAAAATTTGTAGATTCTGACAATATATATTTGGTATGGCGGCGGGCTTTGCTTCGAAGGAAGTACGGAGGAGATCGAGGAGCGTGAGAGCGAGCGAGGGTTCGGCGGACTGGAGCCGTGATTGCGGCGGCAAGAGATGACGGTGAACAGTAGATGACGATGAACAGTAGAGAGACGCCGGGCGCCCAAGGGTGACTTGAAGTCACAATCCCAGGCTAATCCCTTTTCCTTAATGAAGTTGGACTCTTATAGTCCTTACAACTCGACCCTTGACGCTAACAAACTCTTGCTATAAATCTAGACCAAATCTTCTAAGACTCTAACCCAAATCTGCTAGGACTCTAGATGGGCCTGAATACAACACGGTTCAGGCCCTTCTGTTGTTGCGCCTTGCATAAGTCTTCCCCACCATAACAATATTACTTCCCAATTGATTTTTTTTTTAATTTGAAGTCATTTAGATGCCAAAATAATTTACTAAAGTTTTAAAGAACAAAGGTCAAAAGTGAAAAAATATTGCATTGCTATGGATGGTCAATATCTTGTTGGATGGCAAGCAGGCTAAGTGCGAGGCATAAGGTTGTGGGTTCGACTCCCCCGAATACCAAGTGTGTGAGAAAATGTGTAACCCTGCTGGGAAAAGGTGTGACCTGGGGTGGGGGGGTTGTTGAGGTGGCTTTTTCTTACAATTCTTTTGGGGCCAAAAGGACATCTTTTTTATTTGATTATCCCTGTTGGTTGTCAGGGACACTCACATCCCCCGCTGGTGGGCAACTAGCTGGGATACTTGTGAGTATCCCTATCGTTTTCATGGTCATGGGTTACAAACCTGGATTGATAGCGTGTTCTGTAGAATTGTAGTAGTGTCGATTCAGTGTACAAAAAATCATTGCGCATTGAGCTTCTTGTTTTCTTGAAATATTTTAATATGCATTTGCAATTTCAGTTTAGAATTGCATTGCATCCATTGTCCTAACTACATCTTTTTAAAATGATTTGCAGACAATTGGACAATAATAATTTCTCTGGAAGTACAATTCCTTCATCTTATGGCAACATCTCAACACTTCTGAAATTGTAAGTTTGCTTTATCTCTTTTTGTATTCTGTATTCTTATATGAGTTCTCACGTAAGTTTTTGTATCAGTAATGGGAATCCACATTTGTTTGACAACCCTCATCATTATTTTCCAATTACAATGATAAGATTCAATTCTTGACACGAAGAAGTATCTGGACTTGTAGATTTATACTTCTGTATTTTTGTCTTAGTTATGCACTAGTTACTATTGCATGGATCAATAATAACATGTTTGGTCCCTCTGAAGGACCTACCAGTTGTCTACATAGCAAAATGCATACTATACATTTTCCAATTATTGGTTATATGCTTAAAATGTTGATTAACAAAACTTAGACATTTGATTAATTTCTGATCAAGCTACTTGTTTCTTGTTAATGATCCAGTTGAGTCGCTCTTTATTCGTAACATGGTACCAAAGCTCTAGGTTTAGATCCATTCACCGCTCTTCCCTCTCCTGCGCTGGCCCATCTCTGCTGCTCCGGGGGTGGCCTCGTTGATCTTATATTTTTTTGGTTTTTTTTTATTAATACCATTATAATTTTCGAAGTTTGGAGAAACACCATTACTATTCGCCTATTTTGAAGCGTACCATTACAATTATTTGCTTCCCACAAGAATGCCACAGAATACGTATAGGGACGACTTGGGTCCAGCTGTAGACGTATACGACAACGTGTATTCTCGTATGGACTCAAATGCCCTCGGCTCCCTATCCACAGCAGCCCCTCTCATGTACACAGTAGACATCCAGTTTTTTACCCAATATGACTAGCATCTCAAGACACTGGCATTTGAATGCCTTGCAAATTAAGGTGTAAAACTTTAATGCATCTCAAGAATTCAAGTTTGCTTCATATTTATTCCTCCTCTCTTTTTTTTCCTGCAGCGTTTGTTACAGTTTATATTAATTTAATTGATACTGTCACCATCAGGAGTTTGAGGAACTGCAGCTTGGAAGGATCTGTTCCTGACGTCAGTGGAATACCCCAACTTGGCTACTTGTATGTGTAAAGTTCTATACTGCATAATCACCTTTTAGGAAAAGAAATTACCCTTTTTTGTTATTAGGAGAAAAGGTATTAGTTTTTTGGCTTTTTGCACATGGTGTTTATGAGAATTTGGCAAGTTATCTTTTGTTCTCATCTTTGTCCAATGTGTTTCAGGGATCTTAGCTGGAATCAGTTGAGAGGTGCAATACCAGCCAGCCAATTTGCGAGCAACATAACTACAATGTATAAAACAGAACCCTTGACAAAGTCTATCATTTATTGATCATTCTGATTGCATAGACAGTGATTCTCACATATTCATATTGTGCAGTGATCTTTCCCACAATTATCTTAATGGTTCCATTCCAGGAATTTTCTCTGGCCTTCCTAATCTCCAAAGATTGTAAGTATGACCTAACCCTTTTTGCACTATTTATGTGTTAGTGTGTGCAACAACTGTTAAGATCTTTGTATCATTTGTAAAATACTTTGCATAGAGGATAGGTCTCTAGATATCGAGGGTAATAACATTTGTGGTGGAAGCCTTTACACAATTCTTTCTTAATAGTAACAGTTACAATATGCTTCCTTATAGAGGGCTCTCCTTTTATATAAATTTAATCTAATAGATATAGAGTGTTAACCACAAGATAAAATCAATGTGTTCTCAGTACCTTCTGCAGGCCCGTCCCATGCTTTCAAAAAATAATTTCCTTTCACTGAGGATAGTTTGTTTATCTCAAACAGTCAGATGGTAGCTATACTCTGAAATGATCAGTCATATCAGGCTGAACTGAAACTAAATTGTCTTTGCTCAGGTCACTTGACTACAACAACTTGACTGGTTCTGTTCCATCTAATATCTGGCAAAATATTGATCTAAGTGGAAATAGAAGTCTTATACTGTAAGACCTTCAAATCTTCAATCCTTGTCTTATTTTCTAGAACAAGGTAATGATAATCTAATTCTCTAATGAATATTTACAGGGATTTCCAGAACAATTCTCTCAACAATCTGTCAACTCCTCTTTCACCACCTGCCAACGTTACGATCCTGTATGCATTTCTATTCAATATATGTTTCTTGTTATTCAGAGAATGTTGACTTATTAGAGAGATGTTATGCTGTCACTGTCGGTCTGATAATCTTGGCTAAAGAAGAAGTGATGCTGACATATATATTTTCTGGTAGCTTCAGAAGTAGTGTAAATTCCATAAAGTCTAACAATGACATGTGCAACATCTTTTGTTTGAATATCAGAACATATCAGCATATCAGGAGACAACCTTTGTAGTCATCCATCTTGTGTCTCAGTATATGGGGTACTCAGCTTAATTTTTTTCTATGCTTAGTTGTTCCAAAAAAAATGCTTATTAAATTTATTGATGCCTGCAATTTTACTCTGTTTTTCATTTATTGATACTCCCATAAGTGAAGGTCAATACCTAACATTTCTAGAAAAACCCAAGTCCAAAGTATTTGGTGGTTCCATGTGAAATTGAGTTGAGGTGCTATGGTTGTTGCATGTTAGAATAACATTAAATTATATGACCCCTTTTGTATGATTTTCGCATTTGGACATTTACTGTATTTCTTTTCTCTAACAAAGGGATTGTTTGATGAATAGTTCTTATAATATGATGATGTAGGCTCTCAAGTTTCATGCATGTTTGCAAGAAAAAATATCATGATGTAGACTATAATTTTCTTGATTCTAATTAAAATACTAATGAATACTTTTACCCATTATTATTTGGAAAAGGAAATGTTGTTCACGTCAAAAACTGGAATGCATATTCTATAGAACATGTACTTTTTACTTGTGCAGCTATATTTGCAGGACCTGATTTTTTTCTTTAACTTGTCATATTTAGATTACATGGAAACCCAGTTTGTGCCGCGCAAAACCAACTGAATATTTCTCAGTATTGTCAATCAGCAACAGTTGTTGTACCTGAACCTGGAGGTTCCGCAGATAACAGTACACTTTGTCTACCATGCGACCTTCCTTTCGAAAGAATACCATTGTCACCAATACCATGCATATGTGCTGTTCCAGTTTATGTGGATTACCGGCTTAAGAGTCCTGGGTTCTGGAATTTCATTCCATATGAATCCCAATTCCAACAGTACTTATCATCTGGGCTTTCATTGTCATTATACCAATTAGAAGTTTCTACTTTCATATGGGAAGAAGGCCCAAGGCTGAGGATGGACCTGAAACTATTTCCAAATAACACTCCCTATTTCAATGCAAATGAGGTGTTGAGGCTTAATGGTATGTTCACAGGTTGGCAGATTCCAGACTCTGATATATTTGGTCCCTATGAACTTCTCAGCTTCAACCGAGGGTGGTACAACGCCAGTATGATATCTTTTCTCACATCTTTATTTTGTTTCTGTATTGTCCATTTATCGGAGGACTCTATTAGAGCATTTATGAGTATTTACTATGATAAGGATGCCTTATGTAGTTAAACTTGAATCTGACCAAATAATTGATGTCACTTGGTGATAGTGAGCAAGTTATGAAAAGATGTATATAATAATAGGTCCTATCTACTCTTGTGTTAGCTTCTTAGCTGCTACTCCACATTGGTAAGAATGGTGAACGTGCTACAGTCACAACATGAGTTTGGTCATTTGGGCCAGTGGTGATTGGTGGATATTGAGCTCAACCTACAGCCGACAAGGGTTAAACCTTTTAAAATATTTGGAGGTTTACAGTTTTTTTTTCATATATACAGATTAATATTATAGAAACATTTTACAAAAACCTTCTGGTATGAGCCTAAAAGTTATAATCAGAATATTGATATTTTGGGATTGAATATGTGGAATGTGGTATAACACTGACATGATGCTGTTGGTCAAACATGCCTACAAAAGTTAGTGTCATGGAAAATTTCACCAACGTATGTTTTCTGCATATTCTAGAAGATCCATTTAAATTTCCGTAATCGTAGCAAGTCTAGAAGATAGAGGGCTCACCTATTCTCATGCTATCTTTCCAGTATTACCACAGGGTGGGAAGTCTGGTCTGAGTACAGGTGCCATTGTTGGGGTAGTCATGGCAGCATTTGCTGCAGCTGCCATTCTTTCATCCCTCGTTACTATCATTATATTGCGGAGACATTCAAGACATTCTTCTTCAAAGAAACGCTCTGGTAAATCCTCCACCTCTACTTTCTATGTTCTTATAAACAGTTAAAAATTAGAAAGTTTCCATTTTTTTTCTGAAAATTGTAAGGTGTTCCAATTGCCCTCCTCTGTATTCATTTATTTACTATTTTAGTAAAGGACTTACTGTGCATATAACAATATGTCAATATCCTTTCCATATATAAGTTATGTGCTGTTCAAATGACAAGGTTTTATTGTCGATGCAGCGAAAAGAATTTCAATGAAAATTGCTGGTGTAAAAGACTTCACTTTTGATGAATTGTCACATTGTACACATGACTTCAATGATTCAACACTAATTGGCCAAGGAGGGTATGGCAAGGTATACAGAGGTGTGTTGGCTGATGGAACAGTAGTAGCAATAAAGCGAGCACAGCAAGGGTCTCTTCAGGGTTCAAAGGAATTCTTCACAGAGATAGAATTGCTATCGAGGCTGCATCACCGTAATCTAGTCTCTTTGCTTGGTTATTGTGATGAAGAAGATGAACAGGTAGTCCTTTCAAAACCTTTTTCTTTGTTTTTCCCTCTGAAGAAGAAAATTTTGAACTCAATTTCATGTTGGTGATTATTCAATTGATTGCTTCGTTTGAACTGAGTTGTGGAAAAGTGGACTTACAAATTTGTTGGTTCTAATGCACTTGTGGAAGGGAACATAAATGCATGTTTCTTTTGTGTAGAACTTTCTTGTTGGTATCCCATCTTTCTGGAAATCATGATATAGATGGAGTTACTAGTAGGTGTACCTTCCATTCAACAGTACTGTAAAGTAGCCTGACACTGCTAAGCCTATATTGCAGATGCTGGTATATGAGTATATGCCCAATGGAAATCTACGTGATCATCTTTCAGGTTAGTCCTTATTCACTGCCACTGTAAGCACCTTAAAATTTAACTATAGTGATGCAATTGGACCCAACAAATAGAATTGTAAAAGTATCACAAATCCTATGTTTGTCACGTGTGATTTTTGCATCCAAGCAGTTTCCCCATCTGTATTTAATCTTTCTTTTGCTATGGTGACATATAAAACCACATTGTTCATCCTGACATTCAGCTGAAAAATGTAATGAAACTACGAATTTGTGCGTCTTTGTTATGGATCATTGTGCATTCATATTACCCCCTATTCAAAAGTCATGCCACCAAATTATATAAAAAAATGTTTCATGAATACATGTCATCTTGCAGAACTCCATAATTATATAAAAAAATGCTGCCTTTCTGACCTGACAAGTTTCATGAACACTTATCTGTTTGCAGCTAGAGCTAAGGTGCCTCTAGATTTCCCCATGAGGCTACGGATCGCGCTGGGATCATCACGTGGTATCCTGTATTTGCACACAGAAGCAGATCCTCCAATATATCATCGTGACATCAAAGCTAGCAATATTCTACTGGACTCGAAGTTTGTTGCAAAAGTTGCTGATTTTGGTCTCTCACGTCTGGCTCCGCTACCAGAAACAGAGGGGAGTGCCCCTGGTCATGTCTCCACTGTCGTCAAAGGCACCCCGGTAAATAGGCTATACCATACCCAAAAGTGCTTCCTGAGATATATACTGAAAGTGAAACACACCATACATCATGACCAATGCATATATTCCTCTCTTGATTTTTGTAGGGTTATCTTGACCCAGAGTATTTCCTCACTCATAAGCTCACGGACAAGAGCGACGTGTACAGCCTCGGTGTTGTGTTTTTGGAACTGCTGACTGGGATGCAGCCAATTTCTCATGGAAGAAATATAGTCAGAGAGGTTTTGGCAGCCAATCAGTCAGGGATGATATTCTCGGTGGTTGATAACCGGATGGGCTCATACCCTGCTGAGTGCGTGGAGAAGTTTGCTGCGCTGGCGCTGCGGTGTTGCCAGGACGAGACAGACTCGAGGCCATCCATGGTGGAAGTGGTTCGGGAGCTAGAGACGATATGGCGCATGACGCCAGGGACAGAGAACATAGCATCTTCAGAGTCTGGCGTCCTTGGGATGGGCTCGAGCAGCAGCAATACCACCAGCACACCCACAGCGTCGGGTTCGCGGATGGCTTCTTCGGATGATCACTACATTTCGTCCATGGAGGTCTCCGGTAGCAACCTGCTTAGCAGCGTTATGCCCAGCATCAATCCGCGCTGACCAGCAGGCGCATTCTATCTATGCATTTATATGTTGATATTGTTATAGATAGTAAAGATGGCATGGATCTCTCGTGTATGCTAGTATATATTAGTGTTGTGCAGTGCCTAATGATGCTTGTCACTGTCGCCATGTGCATATTTTGCGTCGAATTTAGAGAAACATAGTTCAGTTTTGAGTGATTTTTGTTCTAGTAGTATATATGTGATAAAAGTTAGGCCGAGATTCCTTGACTGGTCAAGCGTTCATCTGTGTTGTGTGAGGTTGTGGGCTAGGGCCCAGTTATGAACTAGGCCTGTTGGCCCAACTCAGCTAGTTTCATCATTGAACTTTTCTTCCATTTCATTTCTAAACACACTACTTTTCCTCCCCTGAGACTGCCAAACCTGTAACAGTAATTCTGTGTGCATTTCGTAAGATTAAGTTTGCTTTTGGGAGACATGCCGTGAGATTGAACTAAATGAATATGCAAAACGGGAAATGAGAAGAAAAGATCGTATTTCGGTATCGTCAAAGGATTCAGAGATATCACCGTCCAGTCAGAAGCTGATGTCCGTCACCTTGCACTTTGTAAACAATAAACAGTTAGCAGCCAATGAGAATGCGTCGGAACAACCATTCATAGTAATGGCATGATGCACAGCTCCGCAAAATGAGCATGTTGAAATTAATTACCACTTTAGATGCCAGGCCAAAAAAAAGTTATCAAATAGGGCACACTATTTATTTATCACTACGTGTTTAACAGTAACAGGGTTTAGTATGCACTACAACTACCTCTGTCGTTAAAAGCATGCAACTATGGTATGCGTGTCAATTAAAGTGCTTTATGTTTGACCAAGTTTTCAGTAAATAATATTCACATTTATAACTCAAAATCAATTTATTATGAAAATACATTTTGTAATTAATCTAACAATATTTATTTGATATTATAAATATTTATTATACTTTTTTTATCTATAATTAGTCAAACTTAATATACTAAAATATGATATGTTCTAAAATTGTTTTTTTTAGGACGGAGTATCGCCCGTCACCCCCTAATCAAGGTACACGCATCATCTCAGCATGTCAGGCAGTTACAGTCCTACAGAAGATTCGCTGATATCACTGACAAAAGTTTGGACATTTGAAAATTAGTGTTCAGATTTGAACTTTATAGCCAGGGCATCAAAACATATTTAAATTAAACTGCTCCCTCCATTACATATTATAGTTCACGTTGGAGAAAAATCCTACCTATTAAAGATATATATATCTAGAATTATAAGTCGTTCTGCCTTTTTAAGATACATATTAAAGCTATGTATCTAGAAATAAGTGTATATTGGATATAGAAAAATCTATATATCTAGAAAGGAGAAAAACAACTTATAATTATGAATGGAGGGAGTATTTGACGGCTTTCCTTGAAACCAATGCATGTATATATGTCAGAGTTTTGGATGGTTTTAGTGCTAGTAACGGGTGACATGAGGGCTTCTCTAGTGAGGTATCAAAAGCGACTCATCGTCTCACGTGGCATTGGCTCGAGTCAGCTCAACTACTGGAGAAGCTCGATTCATGGATGAGAGAGATAAAGAGTGGACTCTACATTTTGCATCGACTCATTGGCCACAAGTAATAATAAAAATTTGCTTTGCAGCTTTGCGAAAGAGGTCATCTGCATGCAATTGTACAAAGTGGGTTGATGTGGGCCTGAAACCACTGGAGAACAATGAATCGGTTCGTGAAAACCGAGTTGGGTTGCTCTGTGAGCCCAACGGCTCTATTTTGAGGGGCATCTATTGAAGCCCCATGGCTAGCTCAAGCTCACTCTCTTAGCCATTTGCATTGATATAGCAACCTTGTGAGTTTAGCCAAAGCCCTCCCACTCATCTCCATCATAGATTCATTATCTTTGTAAGATTTAGAGTGAATCCAAGTGCATTGCTTGAGTGATTGCATCTAGAGGCACTTAATGTTTGTGTTTCGCTGCGGTATTCGCTTGTTACTCTTGGTGGTTACCTTCACCTAGATGGCTTAGAGCAGCGAGGATTGTCGAGCGGAGGTTGATGATTGTCTCCAGCTCTGATCGTGGTGATTGTGAGGGGTTCTTGACCTTTCCCTAGTGGAGAGCCAAAAGGTACTCTAGTGGATTGCTTGTGGCTTGTGTGATCCTCATCTTGTGTTGGTTGTGCGGCACCCGATTGTGGGTTTGGTGTGTGATGCCAATTAGCGCGTGAACCTCCAAGTGAGTGAATCACCACAACGAGGACTAGCTTGCCAGCAAGCAAGTGAACCTCGATAAAAAATCTTATGTCATCTTGTCCCAAGGATTTCTTGACTGATTGTGATTGATTGGCTCCATCATATTGTGATTGTCTCTGTCCTCGACACGGCGGTATAACTATCACATCCTTTCTCTTGCATTTATGTTTCTATTGTTGCTACGCTCTTTAGTGAAATTAGTTTTGATAGCTAGCTTGTGTCAGGTCTAGTGGTTAATAAGGCTCTTTAGTTAGTCTTTGAGAGCTCGCTAACTTAGTGTAGTGACATAGCCTTTGTGTCCTTAGAGATCATAGTCACTAGAATTGTGGTATGTGGCTTGTATTTTTAGTAGGCTAGCGCAACACTCGCTTCGCCGTTTATTTATCTAACATCTTGGCTAAGTGTTGTTGTAGAAATTTTTAATAGGCTATTCACCCCCCTCTAGCCATTATAACCTTTCAAGTGGTATCAGAGCCGCGATCACCGTGATTTGAGTATTAACAACCTTCGGTGTCAAAATGGCTCAAATCAACAACACCAAGAAGCCACCCCAATTTAATGGCTCCAACTATCTTTATTGAAAGGCTAAGATAACAACATATATCAAGTCAATCAATAGAAAGGTGTGGAAGGTGGTGGAGACCAAGATTGAGATTGCCAATGAAGAGGCTCACACCGCCGCCGAAGAAGTGCTACTCCTAAAACAATAATATTGCTCTTAGTGCCATTCATGATGCTTTAGATGAGAGAACATTTGAGCAAATCAAGAATATTGAGATAGCTCATGAGACATAGAAGAAGTTGGAGGAATCATTTCAGGGCTCTCAAGCCATGAAGGGTGCCAAGGCATACATCCTCAAGGAGAAGTTTGCTAGTTTTAAGATGATGGATGATGAGAGTGTGCCAGAAATATTCCATGGGCTTCAAGTGCTTGTCAATGATCTTAAAACACTTGGAGAAGAAGTGAAGGGCAAGGACTTCTTCCACAAGTTCTTGAGATGCTTACCTTCAAGATTTAGCACATTAGTCACTATTCTAGTGAGGAGTGGTTTGAACACCATGACACCAAACCAAGTATTGGAAGATGTGATGACCGATGACACATATAGAGATGATGATGAGAAGGAAGAAAAGGAGAAGAAGGATGAGAAGAACAAGAGTGTGGCATTCAAGGCCACATCATCCAAGGGCAAAGCAAAGCAAGAATCATCAAGTAAAGATGAAGACTTAAGTTTTGATGAGATGGATGATGAGAAGATGGCTTTCTTTGTCAAGAGATTTGGCAAGTTCATAGTGAAGAAGGGCTACCGTGCTAGAAGTAAGAAGTCTTCATCCAAGAACAAGGAAGAGTCAAGAAGGTGCTTTCACTGTGGAAGCAAGGATCATCTTGTTGCTCAATGGCCATACAATAGTGACAATAATGATGACAACAAGAAGAGCAAGAAAAAGGACAAGAAGGAAAAGAAAGAAAAGAAGGACAAGATGACCTTCAAGAAGAAGAAGAAGAAGAAGAAGAGTGGTTCATATGTGGTCACTTGGGATAGTGATGCTTCATCAAGTGATGATGATGATAGTGATGATGACAAGACCACTAAGAAGAAGGCTCTTGCAAGCATTGCTATCAATGAGAAGCCTTCTCTCTTTGACACTCTATCATGCTTCATAGCTAAGGCCACTAAGGTACAAACTTGTGATGATGGAAGTGATGAGGAACATGATAATAAAAGTGAAAATGATAATGATGATGAACCAACTAAAGATGAACTAATTGACATGCTAGAAGATGCTAAAGAACATTTTGACATTAAGAGAAGGGAATGCAAAGACTTGCAAAAGGAACTAAAAGCCCTTAAGCAAGCCTTTAATGAGCTCAATGCATCTCATGAGAGGCTATAGAAAGCCCATGAGAAGCTTGGCAAGGCTCACAAGAAGCTTGAAAAAGCTCATTCCTCTCTACTTAATGAGCAAAATGAGAAGGAATATATTGTAACATGTGACAAAGGCTTAACTTGTGATATAGTTGATGAATCATTCTATAAGCCTATCATTTTTTCTCCCACTAACCCTTCTTGTAGCACATCCACTTCTAGCTCATTTAGTAGTGATGGTTTCACTTGTGATGCCTCACTAATGGTTGAGAATGAGACACTCAAGAAGGAGGTAAAAGAGCTCAATCATACCTTGGCTAAGGCCTATGGTGGTGAGGACCGCTTGCTTATGTGCTTGGGTAGCCAAAGAGCTTCTCTCTATAAAGAGGGATTGGGCTATACCTCCAAAAAGGCAAGGTGGCCTTTGCTCCTTATAAGACTAGTTTTGTGAAGAACAATGGTCGGTTTGGCACTAGTTGCAAGCAAGTTGGTCTTTATAGAGCAAAAGTGCATGAAAAATAAGCCTCAAGCCAATGTATCCTCTATTAAGCTTGATTCTTTCTATGTGCTTACTAAAGGTACAAATGGTGTGAAGGCTAAGTTCATTGGTGCACCATGGATGGGCTAAAAGAAGAAAGTCATTTGGGTGCCAAAGAGCTTGGTCACTAACGTTTAAGGACCCAAGCAAGTTTGGGTACCTAAAAAGAATTGATCTTATTTTGTAGGTCAATTAAAAAGCCGGAGGAAGGCATTGGGTACTTGATAGTGGGTGCACTCAACACGTGACCGGTGATGCAAGAATGTTCAACTCAATCAATACCAATGACAATGATGGTTATTATAGTATCACATTTGATGACAATGGCAAAGGCAAGTCAA